ACAAACATTTTTGAGAATATCTATGGCCAAATGGGTCCTACTATATTCATTAAAATATTAGTAAGTTATAAAAATCTTGTAAAATTTAATCCATACACTAATATGTCATAGCTAAATTTTTCATTAATATTAAAGCATTTAGGAAGAAAATAAAATATATTTGTATCAATTCATAATTTAAATTAGATGTCTCTGAACTAGGGCTGACATTCGGTAATTCAGTTCGGTTTCGGATTTTTTTTTCTCTCTATTTTTTCGGTTTTTGATTCTTGTATCACGTGTAACGAACACTGAACAAAATTATTTCGGTTCGGTTTATGTTATTTTGGTTCGGTTTTTGCTGTGGTCACCGGTTGTTGCTATGGTCGCCGATTGTTACTGTTGGAGTGCTGCTCCGCTGGCTGCTGCTGCTGGTCGGCTGGCAGCTGTTGCTGGTCGACTGCTACCTGCTGGTCGGCCAGTCGCTGGTCGACGCAACGACACAGGAAGTGTGTAACACCCCAGAATTTTTTCGAATTGAGACTCGAACCATCCTTCATTGTTACCCTAGAATTTTTTTCGAATTGAGACTCGAACCATCCTTCATTGTTACCCTAGAATTTTTTTCGAATTGAGACTCGAACCATCCTTCATTGTTACCCTAGAATTTTTTTCGAATTGAGACTCGAACCATCCTTCATTGTTAGTAGTATTTTTACCGAGGAATTAAAATTTCTTTAGTGTTAAGGTCACTAGATGTAGCACCTTAAGTTCCAAGAAGAACTAAAGAGAGTTCATTCAAGTCATTCCTAAGTTCCTTTAAGTTTTGGGTCAACTTCAAACGACCATAACTCTCAGTACATGATGAGTTAGGTGGGATACAAGGTATCCAATGAAAGGTCTTTGAATTATATTTCCAACGCCACCGAGTTTGCTAAGTTTCGAGTTTGGATGAGTGAGATATCCCCTTTTGAAGTCAGGCTATCCAAATAAGGAAAGTTTCCCAAAAATAGTAAGGGGTATTTTTGTCTTTTCCTTACCCAATCAGATTTAATTCATTTCATTTTTAGTAAGGTTTTAGGGGTTTAATCTGATTAGGTTCAGTTTTATAATCCTAATATACGCCTAGGGTTTTAGTTGAGAGTTCAAGAAGAGAAAGAAAAGAGGAGAAAAACGGAGAGGATCAAAGCGTTCGTCAAGAGTCTTGCGTTCTCTTGCGGATTTTCGCCATGGGTTTGATCCCTAAGAGGTATGTAATCTTCCATAGTGTTGGATTTGTTCACCCACACGCCAATCATGTTAATTTTAGCGTTAAATTCGTTCTAGAAAGTTGAAAGTTTGGTGTTCTTGATATGTGTTCTTGAATTTGCTTTCGTTCTTGAATTGGGCTGAGATTGAGAAGTTCTTGAGATTATTGCATCGATTTATAAATTGTTTTGAGTTAGATTCTAGTGTATATGTGCTGGGTATCTGAATCTAAAGAAAAGTTGAGCAAAATAATCGAATTTAGGCAAATTGGGGTTAGAAAACGAAGAAGGAAAAAGTTGGACGAATCTGGTAACCCAGTCCGCGTCGCGGACCTGCCTCCCCATTTCACAAAAAAATTCTTAGCGTTGTGGAGAGGTCACGGACCCTCTGCCTCAAAAGTTATTTCGTGACCAAATATTAAAATGCATCTCCGCATCGCAGACTTGCTTCTAGACAATGATTTCTTGATCGTTTCTCATGTTTAACTATCTAAAAACACTCATAAACATCACAAGATCTTTCCTATCACAAATCACAACCTTGAATTAATAAATCAAATTCAAGGTAGAGTTGAGAGTCAAGTTTGAGAATTCTTTCGAACATTTTTGAGAAAGTCACTTTGAGGAGTCTTCTACAATTTCTAATAACTTGTTTCAAGACTCGAGCAAGTGAGTATGAGAGTGAGGAGAATGTATTCATGAGTATTCTTTATGATCACTATATCCTTCATATCATGAACCATAACTCTTAATTTCATAATTCACATTCAAGAGAGAGTTAAGAGTAGAGTTCAAGAAAGTCTTTGAGTTCAATTGTGAATCCTTTGAGATCAACTATCGATTTGAGCTAAGTTTTGAGGAAGTAAGTATAAGAATGAGAAGAGTCGGATACATGAGTTC